ACCACTCAATTTTTCATTCTGAATCCATTTCCAAAGTTTTTTTTATCATCTAAGACCTCCTACTCAATTTTATTTTCCTAGGGTTACGTGTTTGGCTAATTATCGTTTTACCCTTCCTTTGTATTTTGACCTTAATTTCAAGATTTTCACTAATCCTGCCCCTTTAATCCACATTTAATATATAAATATACGTTTTAGAAATACGAGGTGTTATAATTAGAGTTCTTGAGGCCAAACCTTCTCGCCCATATGCACGAGAGTACTATTACGACAAAGCAATATTTAAAATAAAAGGAATGGCATCATCTTTGAATTTCGGCTACAAGCCGCCATGACTAATGAAGATGTAACGTCAAGCTAATAACGTTAAACAAGCGCTCTTAGGAGGAAACCTAAGAATTTATCGCTTTTAAATTAGTTATTTTAATTTATTTTATGATGCCAGCAGATTTTCTTTTTAGGACCATTTTAGTTTTATTTTTCTTTTGTTTATCTGTTTTGATTAGTGATGACTCTGGTGATGTACATATTTTATTTTTCTCACTCTGTTGTGAGCATGATTGCTACTACTGACTATATCTGATGATATTTTTGTTGAGTTGATGTGTGCAGTTCTTTCTTTTTGATTTATTAATTGCTGAGGACAACAAATTCCTAAATCTGGGAATAGGGATGCACCGCACCATATATATAGTAGCAGTAGTAGCAGTTGGTACAACTATGATCCCTGTGATGAGTAGAACCACAATTTTTTTTAGAAAAACAGGGAAAACTCTTTTCCTTATTCCTCTTTATTTTATTTTATTTCTTTTCTCTGTCTGAATTATTGAATCATGTTAAGTAAGAATTAGTCAGTAAAAATTAATTTATGATGTGATGACTTATAATATGTTTTATTTTAGAAATAAGCATTGATTGAGTTAGTCTAAGAGTCAGTAAGAATAATAAAATTACAGTATGAGTGATTGAGAAAGAGCATATATTACTGAATTGCACACATATAACCGTGAGGTTTGAGCCTAAACAGAAATTTCTTTTCAGTGTGCATTTCACTGTTGAAAATATTACCAGAACTTGCTTTGTTCCTCCTTAAAATGGTTGTTTGCATGCATGTTTGAAATGATTGAGGAATTTTATTGTTTTAGCTAGTTAGCCAAAAAGCCAACCATTATGATATCCTTTGTTTAGCCCTTTGAGCCTAAGCCTTTTCTGTTCTTAATACCTGTTATTTTAATTAGCCACTCCATGTACACATCTACCTTAAATAAGAAAAATATAAAAATTTCATGGTAAGGTGTAAACATGAGTACTTTATCATGTAATTCAAAGTGGTGAAAAAGGAGGTTAGGTGAATGAAGCAAAAGCAAAGGTTGGAAAATGGTGAAAAATAAAAATATTTATTGTTTCTATGTAAATAAAAATGTTGAAAGAAAATGAAAATGAAAAAAAGAAAAGTATTGGAGGTTGAAAAAGAAGAATACGAAAAAAGAAATAAAAGTGTTGAAAAAGAAAAAGGAGGAAAGAAAGGAGAAAAAGAATTATTGTTTGAGTGTTTACACTTTATCATGATCTTTTTTTATTTCATTGTTTTAACTAGTTTTTCCTTATTTATCTTACCTTCAGCCCAGCCCCATTACAATCTGAATAAAGACCTCTTGATCTTTGGTGCATGTAAATTAACTGTGAAAAGTGAGAATACTATCAAGCTTATGAAAATATTGATACAGTGAAAATTTGAGTGAAACACTTACCCTTAGACAGATAAGTGACGAGTGACTTGATATATCTAGTGAGGGATGTGTTAAAACTCAATTTTTATGCTTGATTGACTGAACTCATACTTTGATTTTATAACTTGCTTACTTTCAAAGCTGCTTAGTTAATTATTTGTTCCTAAAAATCCTATTATTTTGAACCTAAGTCTGATCATTCATAAATTGATATATTGCCTAGTCTTATATTAAGCATGCTTACATTATTCCATGTTTTTAATTCAATTCATTGTTGAGGACAACAATGAGTAAATCTATGAATGATTTGAGAAGTTTCCAAGACACTATGTTTTTATGGTTAAAAAGAGTTTAAATAATAATCAAAATAATTAAAAATAGTGTTAAATAATAAAATAGTAAAACAGAATAGATTGCTAACAAAAAGATAAGATTTTAATATTTGTTGTTGTTCCATAGTAAAATAACAAAATACCAACCTGATAATGACCAAAGACTGTTGCAATCCGCGGAGTATGAAGAAAATCAGAAATTAAATAAAATATATATATATGATTGGGTAACGTCCTTTTATAAGTTTTATTCATTATAATTTTCCTCAATAATTATTGGATGCAAAATTATTGAAGTCGTACATAATTGAAAGCCAAATGAAATATAAAGGGAGCAAAAGTTATAATCAGATCAAGGTAATCTCTGATGTATATTATAATGTGTGCCTCTAATGGCGTTGAGCTATAAATTTAACAAATGTCCTTGTACCCTACATTTTTATTTCATTGCTCCAACGAAATGAACTCTCTTTTCAATGGTATAACTTTTTAATATTCACCAACAGAGAAGCAAACAATAATCTACAATTTAACTCTTTTTTTTTTTATTATAAAAAGGTGATACGCTGCTTGATCGGATTCAGCTCGACCCTTATCCTTTTTAACTCCATACGTGTAGCGTTGGTTGTATTAGGTTAACGAGTTGACCAACCTGTCAAATTATGACGGGCAGCGGCTTGACTTGTTGAGTTCAATTCATTTTGTCAACTCTAATCACACAGAAGGAGTGGAAACAAATTCTTTGACTTTACCTTTAAAAAAATATAATCATGATTGAAGTCAATTGCAGTTTTTTTTTTCTTTGGTAATCTTGGGTGAGTTGCAATTAACTGTGAGCGAATAATAAAAGTTGTAACAAGCGAGACTTGATAACATATACAATTAATATTTAATTCAAACAATAAATGTGTTGAGATATATAGTCCCACATTAGTTGTATGTGCAACTAATGTGGAGTTTATAAGGTCTTGAACACTATATATCTCAAGAGTTCAATGATATATATATCTCAACAAAAGGTAAGAACTCCTCAAATCCCAAATCATTTTATATATGTAAAAAATAAATATAATAGTAAAATAATATGTTGATTAAAATAATAAGTTATCTCCGGTGAGCCTAAAATAACATCATTTTGTGACGAAAATTAAGGTATTTTTATAATTATAATATATTGCAGGGTTATATTAGTCTTTATCATTATAATTTTTTTAATCTTATAACTCCAAAACAATATCGTTTTGAGCTCACTGGAGATAACTTTATCTCTGATGACCGAAGAAATACTTTTCCCTTAAATCAAACTACACAACCGTAAAATAATCTTTCAATTCAAACAAGTTAACTAGTGGCGGAGCCATGTACATACTAGGTGTGACCTTGATCCGGGCTAAATTTTAACAAATTATTCTTATTACATATAATTATATAATTAGTTATAATTTGGCCCTGGTTAAAATTATAATTTGGCCCGAGTTACAATTTGTAATTTGGCCCTATCTAAAACTTAAAATATTTTTGGTAAGAGATTTGGATAAGTTGTATTAGGTTATGTATTCGATTTCCACTTGTATAAAAACAAAAAATATTTTTAGTAAAATTATAATTCTTCTTGGTACTGACTGCTCAAGTACTATGTATTTAATATAATTTAAATTGAGAGAGTTATATTTATAAATTTTTAATTTACAAACTACCCTATGTACTCTTGGAAATACATTATGTACTTCCCGAAATATATAGTATAATTTGCAAAAAAATTATAAAAAAAATTTGTAAACGGATTATTCCCCAATTTAAATATATTATGATGTGAACTAACTAAAATTAAAAAGAAAATATACGTATGATTTTTTGGCCCGGGCTTAAATTTGAGTCCAGCTCCGCAACTGAAGTTAACCTATATAGTTCAAATATCCAAACTTTAACAAATAATATAAGTATTAAAGTGGCGCATACTTAAATAGAATTATAACATGTCATTCTTAAGTTCCCCGCTTATAAATATAGTGTGACCATAGTGTCAAGCTCCCCACCTGAAAATATAAATAATAACAATGTCAAACTCCCTTGCTATAAATAATTAATAAGTTTGACGCTGTGAACCAATTTCAAAAACACAAACCATAATATACACACATATCATTTGTAAAAGCATAAAGATATCATCGTTTGTTATCCACAATTTTTGTAAAATCATCTCCTTAACATTCTATTCATTTGTTATCTAATCAATTTTTCTGACGAAGGTTTCTATTAATCTTTTTCTTACATGTCCAAATCATCTTTGACATGAATCTATCATATTTTCGTCAATAATACAAACCACTTAATTTTTTTTATTTTTTTTGACTAATTAGATTCATTCATAATCTTAACTTTTTATTGTATAGCCACTCATTTAGCACATCACTCTTATCAATGTAACAATTATGCTTTGGTTGACTTTTTATCATCCAACATTCAGTATCATAAAGCATGGTTGTCATATGACTGTGCGATTAAAAAAAATTCTTCTTGCTTAAGATGCATATTTCTAGTACAAATAATGTCTAAAGTATTAAGCAAAATAAAAATACCCTTGTATGTTGGAAAGTTAGAGACTTGAGGCTACCTTGAACAAACACCTCATAACAGTAGCTGGATAAGATTTTGTTCATTGGTCATTCTCTGTCTTTTTCCGTCAGGTAAGATGGCAGAGTCCCTTCTTCCTTGACTTGATGCTTTTCATTTGATTTTTAATCAATACATACAGAAAAACATTGCAATATATAAGAAAATTTTGGTACAAGATTTACAAACAAAAGCACCTAAAGAACAGAACATTCAATCAACAATACTTCCATGCGTTTATTGTAATTTTGTTTTTGCTTACACAAGTAGCACCAACGCATGGGTGAACCATTTTGAATTTTTGCTCTTTATTATTCCGTCAATTTTATAATTTTAACTTGATTTTAATGTCCTTCACAACAGTCAATGACATGAAAAACTTTTCATAATCCCAAAAGGCTAGAAAGTGAACAAAAAGAATAGTACTAAATTCTAAAGATTAAGCAGGACTTTTATTTTTTTAAATTTAAAAATGTTAATATAATGTCAAAAGAAAACTATTGCGTCATCTAATAATTTAAATTCAGAATATATGTTCAATAGATATGTTGTATCACTAACTATCATAAGTTTTCAATTTCTTTATAAAAAAATTAAAGTTTGCATACCTGCATTCTGTACAAGTATGATATGGTCTCATTCAAACTTCCATGCCAACATTTCTTAATAAATGTTATATAAATTGTTCTCAGCAATGGTGTGTTGATAAGACCTCCATAAAATGTCCCCATACATGGTATATTACTTACTCTCACTGTATGTAATTTAGGCCAGTGAATAGTTCCATTACGCAGACAAAAACTTGCTAAGTTTGGAAGATCCTTGAGTATGAGGCATTCTACTTCAGGAAAAATGACCGACACTCTTTCATCTTCATCGGCAGATATTACCTCATCTATTTTCTCACAATTATACAACTTGAGTAATTTGAGTTGCACAAGATTTTTAGCAGCAGAGAGTGAGAATAGACTTTTAAGGTTACCACAATGGACAATGTGAAGTGATACCAAGTTTAGGAAGAATGGAACTTGGGGTTCCTTGTTCCAGACACGTGTCAAACCGCTTAGGTTACTCAATGCTAATTCCCTTAGCTGAGGAAGCATTTCTGTGATATCATGATCTAGTTTGTCATCTTTAAGGTTAAAAATCTCCTTCAGTAATTCACATCTGTTCACAGTCAGCAATTTCAGGTTGTTGTATCTTATGATCATGCTTGAGGATATGACCTTCAATAATTTATTGTTGTCACTCAAAGTCAGGTTTTCCAAATTACAGAATGAATTGGAAGGACAACTACAGTGCCAGAGATTCTCAACATCAACCTGATTTATCACATGAAGTACCTTCAATTTGTCCAATGACAACTGCATGGAACGAAAGGTAAGTTCAATGGATGCAAGCTAGATGGCTATACAACTAACTAAGTAGGAAGTATAACATGAACTATAATACCTATCAAATTGTATTAGTGATAGTTAATTGTGTTGCAGAGTATGATAATTGTGGCATTATATAGATAATTCAGTTCCATCATTTATATAAAGAATAAATTAAATTACATAGCAATAACCAGGATGTCAAAGCTTTTCCTTTGGTACAAAAGTGAGATTAGACCATAAGGTCATATCAAAGGTGAAGAAGGTCTATTGATCCATAAAACACATATAGATAGCTGAAAATGAATTTTAAATGAAACTTACAGAAGTTGGGAAGAAGCAGCTTGAAGTAGTTAGGCCATCTTTCAGCTTATGGGACTCTCCAACAAAAGTCTTCAACGCAGGACAATTTGATACTTTTAATGTTTCCAAGGATGGAAATTCAGATGTAGGTGGAAAAAATGTTGAGAGCTTTGTTAGATTTTCAAGAGAAACATACTTCAACTCAGGAAAGGATTTCCCTCTCGTTTCATCTCCTTTATCCATGATGATAATTTTTTGCAAAGCCTCACAATCAGAAATTTCCATTTCTTTTAGCATAAGAGATATTGCTAGCCAATTGAGAGAGTTGCATTGCTTAACCCTTAGGAATATAAGGTTTTGATAGAGGTTGGTACTACTTTCCTTGTTGATGATGTTAACTAAATTGGGTAAATCAATTAAAGTCAATTCACTTAGATGCTGCAAGAGCATAGAATGAGGTATTTCCCTTTGAATCTTGAAAACCGTTTTCAATGAGGTACAATGACTCACAATGAGTTTCTTCAAATTCCCTAACTCTTGTAATGTGTTAGATGAGATGACACAAACAATTTTGTGGCAACTAACCAAGCTGAGTTCATTAAGTTGGGAAAAAGACTTGCCGTCAGTTATTGAATCTTCATACATAGTTGCAAACCCAATTTTGAATTCATTCAACTCTGGACAATCTTCTATCATCAAACTTTTCAAGGCTGATAATTCTAATGCAAAGTCTCTTTTAGTATGGAACTCCATCAAACGTGGGAGGTCCTTGAGCACCACCTTGCTCGCTGGGAACTTAAATTCCTTTGAGAACGCTGTAACCAGAAACACTTGCAGTAAAGAATAACATGATTCTATCTTTAATTCCTTTATCGGCGCTATCCAGAGAATCGGAACCGAAAACAAATATTTTATTGCGTGACAGTGTTCAATGGTGAGATATTCAAGCAGCTTTGAACTCTCCGTCAAACTATCGAGAAAATTTTTCAGGTCTTCGTGGGTGATATGTGATATGTGAAATTTTATCAGGTTGGTGAACTGCGAAGGTAGAAGATTGTTCCATACCTTCATAAACTGCTCATCACTAACAATACTATACTCTGCAGTCATTGATAAGTCATCCTGTGTAATTTTTGAATTTTTGTTTAATAATTTCATACAACTCATAGTGAATATTATTCAAACATAACATCCAAGACTATAAACATCCATCACCCTGGAAGATATATTTATAACATAACAATTATTTGTGTCATTCAAATATATTGTGGATTTTCGAATATTAATAATAAAAGTTAATGAAATTCCACAAACTTTTCTATCTTTTTATTCGTAAGTTGTTGCGTAGCATTTGATATTTGAGAAGAATATTTGTACTTTCAAAGGACATAACTTTGTGTTATTTTAGATCCTAAATATTGATTTTCGTCAATCAAGGGTTAGGATTTATTGAGTCAAACTTATTAATTAATTAGTAATTCGTAATAAAATCCAATAAATCCTAACCGTTAATTGACTGAAATCAATGATTAGGATCTAAGATGACACAAAGTTATAGGAAAAATATTTTTCCCTTAATATTTATATATGTTGTTATGTTTTCTTGAGAGAGAGAGAAATAGAACTAACCGCAAATTCAAAAAGATAGGCAACCTTGGTATTGGTATCAATGTTATCTTGCAATTGATAATCTAACATCACTGACTTCAACTGTGTCTTTTCTATGAGTCCCAAACGAAACTTCCATATTTCGGGGCAGTGGTTCACAACCACATTCTCCAAGGATGGGCATGCAATACTTCCATAGGAAAATCCCTTAAAGTCGAGTATGTCTTCAAGATGCACTTTCTCCATTCTAGGAAATTCTATTGCATATATACTATCACATACAGTATACAACTTTGGTAGCTGAACTAAATTTAAGCCAATCAATTGAAACCTCATCCATTGTCTGTCAACATCAGTGGCAAAGTCAAAAATTCTCCACAATGAGCTGCAATTCCTGACCGTCAACGTCTTCAAATTATGAAGATTTCTTGAAAGAGGAGCAGGAAAAATTAATGTCAATTCCTCACAATCCGCGATGCTTACGTCCTTTAACTTCCAAAAAGAATTTGGAACAACATAGTCCTTATCCCATATTTTCTTCAATTTAATTGCCCCGAAAATCATCATTGTATCCATATTAGGAAAAGAAACCTGCATACACACAATAATATAGTACTACGTTAATGAACAAACATAACTAGCAAATTATATTCCACAACTTTCAGAGAATTATTTGTCATTTGATACAAATATCTTCTTGTTTTGGAATTAGCTATTCTAAGATCAAGGATCTTCCTTTTGCAGCAAGGAAGGAAAAAAAACACTACAAATGGATATTAGTCATCTTTAATGCTTTAATTCTACAAATGGATTTGAAATATGTGAATACCTTCTCATTGAAAAGTATAGGTTTAGCACTGTAAGAAGACTCTTCTTTCTGAAAAAAGAAACTGAATAATGCAGGGAGTCCTCGTAAGGTCAGAGAGCGTAATTCAGGAAACTCTATGTGAGGATGACGTAATCCTGGATCTGCACCTTCTACAACCACAATTGCCTCCATGAGTTTGCACTCTGAAACTTCTAAATCAGAAAGATGAGGAAGGCTTTTTATCATTGAATTTGAGAAGAGACATGTCATCCCATCGCACTTGTGTACTTTGATGACTCTTATTTTGAATAAAGATTTCTCAGTTAGAGGACCATGGCAAATATGCTCCAAATTGCTTAGATTGTTGAGAGACAATGACTCCAAGTTGGGGAAAGCATCAAGAGGATGACTTGAATTCATGGCTATGTATTTGATTTCATCATTGTCTTGTATAAAGAGAGACTGCAGATGGGGAAACCCGTCACTTTCCAAATCACTGAGAACATTATGGACACCATTCAATTCATCTAAGTACAACACATCAACATTTTTCAACATCTTTTTTATTCCATCCTCCGATTGAAACCTTCTATCAAGCTTGAGTTTTAGTGACTTTAATCCATGATCACCATCATGGGTCGGGCCCCACTTATCCCCAATAAAAATCGTGTAGGATCTTAGTTTTTCAAAGAACAACTCCACTGGCCATGCCGTAACATCAGGAACATACAAGTCTTCTATATATGTCAAGCGAGGCAAGTCTGTTAGCTCTTTCAAGCTCGCATTGATGGATCTTTCCACCTCCCAATTATGAAAGGAGTTTCTCAAATATAATTCTTCTAAGCTAGTCAAGTTTGACAGAACATTGGGTGGAATCACTTGCAGATATGTATCTCTCAAATCCAAGAATAGCAACTTTCGGAGCTGTCCGATTTGTCTTGGCAATTGTTGGATTCTACATTCAAGGAGGCCAAGCATTCGAAGATTCGAGAGCTCACCAACTCTAGTTATATCTCCCAATTTGCATTTGTACATGGATAATGCTTGAAGTTTCTTTAACAAACCAAAACTATCTGGCAACTTTGAACAATCGAAGTCAACAACATCTAAAACTTTCAGATGTTTAGTCTCCTCAAAAAAGGAATTTGGAATTTGCATTGAGGAATTGTCTGTACTTAGTAACATCTCTTGCAACTCTGGACACTGCAACTTTTCAGGAATATGCAAACCACTCGCAACAATCATGCTGCAAAAGCGTGAACTTTTCAGCCAATCTTCCGGTGGCCATTCTTTAGAAATCATTGTAACTTTTAGTTCCCTTTGAGCTATTAAATAAGCACTTTCCCATATCAAGTCATCTACTTTAACCCATTCCATTTTATCTTGAACCACAAGACCGCAAGCGTTAAGTTCACTAATCAAGGAATCACGCTTATTTCTTGCAGTCTCTGATGAATCAAGGTTTTTGAATAACCCTGACCACATGTCTATATATATGCTAGACTTGTGAATAAGCTTTCTTCCTCGAATAGTAAGAAGCAAGAACAGAGATTTGAGTTCTTCACTTTCTAAACTATTGTAACATAGTTTTATTGGCGGAACATTATCCTTCAGTTTCTTTGAGGCATCCATCCAAACACCCAGGTCTTTATTTCTCAATGCCTTAGCTACAGCAAAAATTGAAGGAGCTGAACCTGCACAACTTTTTACTATTTCAGTTACTAAGGAACTAGCCTCAAAGTCTTGATCAACACCTCCAACCACCGTCTTTACAAACAAGCTTAGAGCCTCATCTTCTAGTAACTCTTCTATTTGGAACACCTTAAGAGCACCCCTCGTGTTTTTTATAAAACCCAAATTTCCTGATGCTAGTAATAATTTGCGTCCCTCGTGTTCATCACCCAAAGGAACTCCATATTCCTCCAAATCAAATTCTTGAGGATTCAATTCTCCCCATATATCATCAACTATGACAAGAACTCTTTTCTCTTTCTTTATTCTCCTCCGCAATATGTTTCTCCTTTCCACATTCATTTCCCCTTGAAATTGCAAACCCAATGCATCTGCAATATCTTCTTGAATTTTTTCTATGTTTGGCTTCTCAGTTACAGTCATCATAACCACTGAATCAAACAAGTCATGTTCTTTTGCTTGATCTCCAACATGTTTGGCTAATGAGGTTGTACCTTCACCACCCAACCCCCATACTCCAACTGTTTGGATAAGAGGGTCCTTCAGGGCTTCCATAATATCATTTATAGTATCTTTCCTTGATCTTGATCTGGGAGGTTTCACAGATTGTTCAAACTTTCCCAATTCATGTAGTTGTGAAATTTTCAGTATAATCTTTCTTGCTTCTTTACCAACCCGATAACGCCATAGAAAATTTGTGCAAGCACCTTTGCCTTCATAGTAATTCGAGAATGCATTTGTCTGTTTAACAATCTCATCAACTCTTTTCAACCAGCTAGTTTGAGTCTGGAATTCTTCAGAATCCCAAGTAAGATTTTCTTCCACCCTCTTTCCTTTGTTTTGCAGAAGCTTGACTTCGTTCCTGAGATTCTCCAATATATTCTTGTAGGAAATCAAGTAACCAACTTGACGTGCAACTGTGGCTACTTTCATGTTTTGAACAACGTGCAAATTTGTCTTCTTTTCCTTTTGTTAAACTTTATTTTGTTTTGGCCAGCTGCAAAGGGGTTGATTCAAGTTTAGCCTAGGATAACAGATAGAGGCAATAACTTGAAAATGGATTTGGATCTCAAAATCGTAATGTGGTCATGTTATTTGATCACAGTTGCTCATTAATGATGAGATAAGAGAGAGAAAAGTGTATGATTTTTAAATGAATGGTTGTGATCAAATAACATGACTACTTTTCTACACGAGAAAGATCCAAATCCCAAAAAAATAAAGTAAGAGGAAGTTTGAAATAAATGGCTCACCCTCTTCTCAGATAATGGCAAGAATACAAAATGTGAACTTCTACAGTACACCCTGTCATGCACAGAACAAATTGTAAAGAACTTGAAGAAGGACTAAAATAATTCATCAGAGTTTTGTTGCCACTCGCCAGTTCTATGCCTGGATATCTATAACTTGCAATGTAAGAGCAATTAAATTTTAGGATACATACTAATGTAGAATATACATCCCATAAGAATCTAAATACTTCACTTGAAATAATTGGATTGCATTCCTTTGAAAAAATTATTATTATTATTATTATTTTTATTTTTTTTTGTAAATTTGAAAAAATTATTTAAGGGCCAAAATTTTGAAGTTTTTATGTTTAAGGGTTTGCTCAATACACAGTTTAGCAATACGTTAAAAATATTGGCTATCATGGCCTCATTTCTCACAAATGAGTTTTTTAATTAAAAAAAAATCAGTTCTTGGAATTAAGGTTAGTATTACTAGTACTTCTTAAAAACTATTTGGTTTAAAGTAAATTTCACTTTCATGCGGTTTTCATTAAGTTTAAGTTATGAAAATATTTTTCTATACGTTTTAGTCTTTAAATTTTTTTTATTTAGATTTAAGTTCCTATCTTTGTATATTACTCTCTATATTTTTTAGTTATTCGAATTCTAATCCTTATCATTTTTTGTTTATAATAAAAATTATCTTTATTTTTATGAAGAAATTCTTCTATTTTTAGCTATTAAGGTATCAATTCTAAGTAACCAAAACATTAATTATATAAATTTATAAAATTATATAAAAAATATATATATTGTAGAGACTAAAGTTTACTTAAAACACAATCACAAGAACCAAAATATACCTTAAATCAAACCAAAAAAATATCTCAACAGAGAATGAAAGAAAAACAAATGTTTGATTTAAATAAGAATATAAATGAGACAGGTGACTTGTTAAGAGCCTACAACTTGACTTTATTTTGGTCTAATTTGGTCAACCCTTTTTAAAACAATACAATCCTATTTTAAAATGTAGGGCCTCTTAGTCTCAAGACCATATTTGTATTTTTTAATAAAATAATATTTTATTATTTTTTAAATTTTTCTTACCCTCCACCTAGACTTTTACCCTTCCTCTAACCTAATTTTTTTTGACTCATTTCAAGTGTAATCTTCCCTCTTCTCATTTGACAAACACATCTCTTTTTAACACTAAATTCCTTCGCTGCTACTACTCTTGCTTTTCACTTCCCCATCAAATTTCGCTACTCTCTTGCCCCCTTTTCAACTCTCCATCTCTTCCAAATTTTCTATTGCCTCTTTTTTGAATGAGATTCTAGTTACGTGCAATCTAAACTTTGATGAAATGTTTTCTTTTTTTGAAAATTTATCCTTCTGAGTTATGGAAAAAGCAAAAAAGTCAGCAATTTGGATCTCTTAATGAAGTTTGATTGGTTTTTGTGAACATTTTTTGTAACGCCCGACCGCTTCAAGAATCAATGACTATCTCCACATACTAACACGAGACTTTTCAGTGTGCTTTTTCCTCACTCTCACACTTTCCGGGAAACTTCCCAGGAGGTCACTCATCCCAGAATTGCTCCAAGTCAAGCACGCTTAGCTATGGAGTTCTTCCGTTCCGGGTTATCGAAAAGTAGATGCATCTTGTTAGTATTGGTAGTACCAATTAATTCTTATAAGTTATCCCACACTGTGCAGTCTCATACCTGCACAGCCTTTGAAATCCCTCTCTTTCGGGTGTGGATCTCATCATTCATGCATGTAACCTGTAAGAACCCGCGCCGTTAATTAAGAAAGTTAATTAATTAATTATGTGAAATTAGGAACTAATTCCATAATTGACCCTAATAATTATTATGAGACTTAATTAATTATGGTAAGTAATTAATAATGCTGAAAATCGTTTTTCGGACGAAAAGTGCAGATACCGGTTCTGCCACTCGGTATAAATGCGTACCGATGAAGTATCCCAAAAAATTACAATAAGTGCATGAATATTCCTAGAATAATATATAGGACTTTTATTTCAAGTTTCAAGTCAAAATAATGAGAACTGGTGCCAGAACTGATACTGGCTATGGAAAAGCGCGTACCGAAAAAGTGCTGCGAAAAATAAAATAAAAATATGATAAATCTTAGAAAAATGAGTAGGTTCAGAATCCTTAGTTTGGGATTAAATTGTTAAGCGTAGCATTTAGTGCTAATACAGTGTGTTTAAAATTTAATGAGGCTATATAAGGGCATGACACACACTTTTAGGTCAGATTTTGTGCCTTCTACTTAGGAAATTCTGAGCTTGTGAGTGCAGCCTCCTTCTCTACCATTCTCCATAGCTTCCTCCTCCAAACAAACAACATTTCTTCCATTTCTCTTCACCGAAATACCTTGTGTGAGTAAGAGGGATAATAGGGAATGAGTGGGAGGCCTTTCTTCAGAGTTTTAGGTTCTGTATTTCAAGAGTCTTGGAGCTGACTTTTTTATGTGGGTTGAAGAAGCCATTGTCATGGAATTTTGTGTTTCAAGGTGTGACCTTTGAAGAGAAAGAACCCTCCTTGGTGTGCCATTTTCGTACACTTGCAAGTCAGAACCTTTGGGGCTGAAGGGAGAGCTCCAAGAGCACTTCAAGCTTCTGTTTTGAGGCTTTCGGTATGTTCCCTACCTTGATCTTGAGTTTTAGTGGTTTAAAGGTTGAGTCTTGACATGTTAATGGGTTAAACAAGTAACCAATCAGTATATGAACTTAAAAGAGAGTAAAAATGCATGCTTTAACGTTTAGAAGTGTTAAAAATGGAACCTTGGAAGTGATATCTCGCGAAATGCAAAAATTGCATTTTGTCGCGAAATATCCCAATATTGATATCTGGATATTGATATCCGGATATGGTCTCTGTGATATCCGGATATGCATATCCGGATATGCCCCCGACATATATCCGGATATTATGGGTTTTCGAAAAACAGTAGTTGAACTGTTCATACAGAGCTGTTTTGGGTTTGTGGACCCTAGATTGATGAAGTGGGACTTCTGTAATGATTAATCTAAGTCAGAATCGAGTGATTAAGGGCTTGTGGCTTTGTGAGAAGCCTAAAGACATGAAACGTAAGGAAAGACGTTGTCTTTATGTCGTTTGCTTGTAGAGTTTGAATATTAATGTTATTCTGGTCCACAACAGATTGTGATTCTGCTGCGTTTGGGCTTTGAGCTTGGTTGGACTCTTGGCTTGGATTGTTAGCTTGCAAGGTAAGCTTTCGTGTCCTCGGTTTAGCCATTGCTTGTTCCCCCATGTCCCTTGGGGGGATGGTTTATATGCATGATGTGTTTTCATGTACTGTTTTATTGAAATGTTATGGAGTTGTTAAGTGCAAAATGCTTATGATATGTATGTGGTATTTCGCCTAGCCAGGAAGCCATGTGGAGGTCTTGGGGGCGGGTACGGCATGGGCGGGTACGGCATGGGCGTGTACTGTGTGGGTAATAGACGTATTCCTGCACTTCTCTAATCAGTAGAATAGTTATAACACATGTGACATGATTATCTTCTGCATTGCACTGGTTTTGGAACTGATATTGAATTACTTCTTTTGAACTTATATTGCACATGTAAGTGAGCTTGGGGTGGAAGATCCTTGAGGACCCCTTGTCTTACTGAGATTTCTGTTTAGAGATCTCACCCCACGTTTGGGGTACATATTTCAGGTTCAGGTAATGCGGGGGTTGAGACCTCTAGCGGCAGGAGGCCGGAGCTTAGCTGATTTTTATGTTGTTATGCTGCTTATGTTGAATGCTGGAATATGTCAGTTGCTGTTATGCCATTAGCTTCATTCTGCTTTATTATTATGTTGCGGTTGTTGAGACTATGTTTGGCCTTGTTGCCTTATTTGGTGAGCATGGCGATTGTCCATGCCACATTGATTGACCATGTCTTAGTTTAGATTTGAGTTGTAATAATGTATCAGGATTATGTCCGGGTTACGTGTTGTAGTTCCGTGATTTTAGATACTCACTATTATTTATATATTGAGGTATTTCAGTTAGCTGTCTAATTGCAATTTACATACAAGGAATGTTTTGGAGATGAATTAAGTAATCCAACTTGGTAATGGTAATGACGTCATAATTGAATTAAAGAAAAAGATATTCCGCATTTTAAATTAAACGTGGCTTAATACGATGACATGTTAATAAACCGGGTATACACGGGGTATTAAATTTTATGGTATCAGAGCACTTTCTAGGGAAAAGCCTGTATGTATTGCAATAACTTAGGATGCTTTGTTGTGAGTCGTGTCTGTGTGTTCTCTCTATTGGGTTTTGCTATGATGATGCATATGTGACCAAATTGCATGGGCATGATCAACTCATTCCTTGTATAACTTGTGCAGAGTCATGGTACTACCTCGAAGGAACCGAGACACTAGCGGGGATCAACCTGATCCTGTCCTGGCTGCATTGGCTGAGATGCAGGCGGCTCGACAAGCCGACCAGGAGGCCATGAGAATGGAAAACCAGGCTATGCTGGACACCATCAGAGAGGCGAACAGGAAAGCCACTGAGGATGTACTGGAGGCGAACTGCCTGGCGAACATGACTATGATGAGGGTCATGTTGGAGGAGATGAGGGCTGGTCCTGCTGTTGGTCAGTTCCCTCCGCCACCATCACCACCTCCACCTCTACCTAG